ACTTTCTCACTTTATAATATACTAGAGGCCTGGTGCACGAAATTCGTGCACTGGGGGGTGGGATCTCTCAGCCCGGCCTGCACCCTCTCACAATCCAGGATCCCTGCCTGCCTGATCACCCCTAATCACCTCTGTTTGCCTGCCTGATAACCCCTAACCATTCTGCCTGCCTGATTGCCCCTAACCACTCTGCCTGCCTGCCTGATAGCCCCTAACTACTTGCCTATCTGCCTGATCACCCCTAACCCCTCTGCCTGCCTGCCTGATCACCTCTAACTGCTTCTGCCTTGGCCCCCACCGCCAAGGCTTTGTCAGGAAGGACATCCAGAATGTCGTTTGGCTGCCCAGTCTAATTAGCATATTACACTTTTATTATTATAGACTAGAGGTCCGATGCACAAAATTTGTGCAAGGAGCTTGGCCCTCACAGCCCCGGCTGCCTTGGCCAACCCTTGAAGCCTTCGCCAGCCCTCTCGGCCCCAGTTGGCTCTCGCAGTCCTGGCTGGCCCTTGCAGCCCCGGCTTCATCTGGAAGGTCATCCGGACAGTTGTCCGGATAGTCGTTTGGCTATTTGGTCTAATTAGCATATTAGCTCTTTATTATATAGGATTAGAAAGCTACAGTAATTAAAACGGTATGGGACTGGCATAATGACAGACATATAAACTAATAGAACAGAATAAGAAGTCCAGAAATAAACTCAAACATATATATTCAATTGATCTTTGACAAGGCTTTCAAGAATACACAATGAAGGAAATATAATCTCTTAAACAAATGGTGTTGAAAAATTGGTTATCCACATGCACCTTCATTTGCACCTTATCTGACATCATATACAAAAATAAACTAAAAATGGATTAAAGATTTATTCCAAAGACCTGAAACTGTAAAACTGCTAGAAGAAAATAAAGGAAAAGTTTCTTGACATTCGTCTTGAAAACGATTTATTGGATATGACCCTAAAAGGATAGGCAAAAAACCCCCAAAATAGTGTCTGTGTCCATTGGTTATGCTAATATACATGCATACTAGTCCTTTGGTAGCTCTCTAATCCCCGTCCTCCCCATACAAAATAATTTAAGATAATATTTTATTAGGTATTATGAGTTGAGGTGGTAGTAAATGACAGAATAATCAGATAAACAAAATTTAAAACTAATATAAAAATGTACATATACTTTTACAAAATGTATTTTGTTATATATTTCCAGAAACTGTCAATTAGTATTACATCTTTCTTAATGAGAGTGTAATTTATTGTTTTGTTGTTGTTACCTTTCCTCACTTTTGGCATTTCTCTACCTCAAAGGTTGTATTAAAGTATTCTTTAGAGATTTTACTTTATATTAATGAAAACACTGGGGTCCCCATTGAATCACATCACAAAGAAGAGTGTATGGGATATTATATTTTATCTTTTGGTTCCTTACCCTAAGTAGTCTTTTCAACATATATTCTTCAATCACTGCCTATTTAAGCTTGTTTTGAACAAATTTGTAAATCTTAAATAGTTTACTTTTTTATTATCTATTTATTTATAAATTGCATGATCAAATCCATATGCAGAAAAAAGCACTTGACAAAATTTACCATCCTTTCATGATGAAAATGTTCAACAAACTAGGTGTAGAGGAATATTGTCTCAACATAATAAAGACCACATATAAAAAGCCCATAGTTAACATCATACTGAACTGTGAAATATAGAAAGCTTTTCCTTTAAGATAGAGAACTAAACAAGGATGTGTACTCTTGCCACTATTCAACATAGCACTAGAAGTCCTTGCCAAAGCAGTTAGGCCAGAAAAAGACATTTAAAAAATCCAAATTGGAAAGAAAGAAGTAAACTTATCTGTGTTTACAGAAGATATGATTTGATAAAAAAATTCTAAATACTTCACCAATAAAACCACACCAACTGTTAGAACTAATAAACAAATACAGTAATGTTATTGAATACAATATCAATATACAAAAATCAGTTGCCTTCTATACTAGCAACTCACCATCCAAAAATAAAATTAAGAAAATAATCCTATTTACAATAATATCAAAACCAATAAAATCAGCTTAGGAATAAACTTAACAAGGAGGTAAAAGACTTGTCCGTGGGGAACTATGAAACGATGAATAAAATTTAAGTACACATACTGACGTTCCATATTCATGGATTAGAAAAATTAATATTGTTAACATATGCATACTACCTCAAATGATCAATAAATTAATGCCATCCCATGAAAATCCAAATGTCATTTTTATAGAAATAGAAAAAAAATCCTAAATTTCACATGAAACCACAAAAGACTCAGAATAACCCCAAATCAGATGATATCACACTTTCTCACTTTATAATATACTAGAGGCCTGGTGCACGAAATTCGTGCACTGGGGGGTGGGATCTCTCAGCCCGGCCTGCACCCTCTCACAATCCAGGATCCCTGCCTGCCTGATCACCCCTAATCACCTCTGTTTGCCTGCCTGATAACCCCTAACCATTCTGCCTGCCTGATTGCCCCTAACCACTCTGCCTGCCTGCCTGATAGCCCCTAACTACTTGCCTATCTGCCTGATCACCCCTAACCCCTCTGCCTGCCTGCCTGATCACCTCTAACTGCTTCTGCCTTGGCCCCCACCGCCAAGGCTTTGTCAGGAAGGACATCCAGAATGTCGTTTGGCTGCCCAGTCTAATTAGCATATTACACTTTTATTATTATAGACTAGAGGTCCGATGCACAAAATTTGTGCAAGGAGCTTGGCCCTCACAGCCCCGGCTGCCTTGGCCAACCCTTGAAGCCTTCGCCAGCCCTCTCGGCCCCAGTTGGCTCTCGCAGTCCTGGCTGGCCCTTGCAGCCCCGGCTTCATCTGGAAGGTCATCCGGACAGTTGTCCGGATAGTCGTTTGGCTATTTGGTCTAATTAGCATATTAGCTCTTTATTATATAGGATTAGAAAGCTACAGTAATTAAAACGGTATGGGACTGGCATAATGACAGACATATAAACTAATAGAACAGAATAAGAAGTCCAGAAATAAACTCAAACATATATATTCAATTGATCTTTGACAAGGCGTTCCATATTCATGGATTAGAAAAATTAATATTGTTAACATATGCATACTACCTCAAATGATCAATAAATTAATGCCATCCCATGAAAATCCAAATGTCATTTTTATAGAAATAGAAAAAAAATCCTAAATTTCACATGAAACCACAAAAGACTCAGAATAACCCCAAATCAGATGATATCACACTTTCTCACTTTATAATATACTAGAGGCCTGGTGCACGAAATTCGTGCACTGGGGGGTGGGATCTCTCAGCCCGGCCTGCACCCTCTCACAATCCAGGATCCCTGCCTGCCTGATCACCCCTAATCACCTCTGTTTGCCTGCCTGATAACCCCTAACCATTCTGCCTGCCTGATTGCCCCTAACCACTCTGCCTGCCTGCCTGATAGCCCCTAACTACTTGCCTATCTGCCTGATCACCCCTAACCCCTCTGCCTGCCTGCCTGATCACCTCTAACTGCTTCTGCCTTGGCCCCCACCGCCAAGGCTTTGTCAGGAAGGACATCCAGAATGTCGTTTGGCTGCCCAGTCTAATTAGCATATTACACTTTTATTATTATAGACTAGAGGTCCGATGCACAAAATTTGTGCAAGGAGCTTGGCCCTCACAGCCCCGGCTGCCTTGGCCAACCCTTGAAGCCTTCGCCAGCCCTCTCGGCCCCAGTTGGCTCTCGCAGTCCTGGCTGGCCCTTGCAGCCCCGGCTTCATCTGGAAGGTCATCCGGACAGTTGTCCGGATAGTCGTTTGGCTATTTGGTCTAATTAGCATATTAGCTCTTTATTATATAGGATTAGAAAGCTACAGTAATTAAAACGGTATGGGACTGGCATAATGACAGACATATAAACTAATAGAACAGAATAAGAAGTCCAGAAATAAACTCAAACATATATATTCAATTGATCTTTGACAAGGCTTTCAAGAATACACAATGAAGGAAATATAATCTCTTAAACAAATGGTGTTGAAAAATTGGTTATCCACATGCACCTTCATTTGCACCTTATCTGACATCATATACAAAAATAAACTAAAAATGGATTAAAGATTTATTCCAAAGACCTGAAACTGTAAAACTGCTAGAAGAAAATAAAGGAAAAGTTTCTTGACATTCGTCTTGAAAACGATTTATTGGATATGACACTAAAAGGATAGGCAAAAACCCCCAAAAATAGACAAATGGAACTACATCAAACTAGAAGCTTCTGCACAGTAAGGAAAATCAACAGAATGAAAGACAACCTATGAAATGGAAGAAAACATTTGTAAACCATATATCTAACAAGGGATTAATTTCCAAAACATAAAGTACTTACACAATTCAATAGGAAAATTAATCCCATTAAAAATAGATGAAAGGATCTTAGGCTCCCTGCTCAGTTTCTGAGGCTTTTAAATCGCGATTAATACCACAGCGCTCATGCTATGGCTGGGATCCCAGTTGCGGCACAGCCTCTAGAGCAGCGGTTCTCAAACTGTGGGTCGCGACCCCTTTGGGGGTCAAACGGCCCTTTCACAGGGGTCGCCTAAGACCATCGGAAAACACATATATAATTACATATTGTTTTTGTGATTAATCACTATGCTTTAATTATGTTCAATTTGTAACAATGAAAATACATCCTGCATATCAGATATTTACATTACGATTCATAACAGTAGCAAAATTACAGTTATGAAGTAGCAATGAAAATAATTTTATGGTTGGGGGTCACCACAACATGAGAAACTGTATTAAAGGGTCGCGGCATTAGGAAGGTTGAGAACCACTGCTAGAGAGACGTGGATTCTCTGAGCCTGTTTAGTACTGGAGCCCGGGCTGCAGGCAGCTCCGCGGCTGCAAAACAGAACCTCTGGAATAGATGGACTCTTCCCAAGCACCTTAGCTAATGTGCAGCAGCTGGACAATGTTCCTCGTTAATATCTATCTGGCAGTGTAAACATTACTTCACTCCGGTGGCAGGGACTCAGCCCTGAAATCTATATAGAAAAAGTACCCGGGTCGTCTTTCAATGGCTTCGAGACCATCAGAAATGCCTGCTCTTGAGCCTAGTGGGCCTCTAGGCAAGATGTCCCTGCCCATCGGGATGAGCCGCCGGGCATTCAGCTATGATGATGCCCTGGAGGACCCTACGCCCATGACTCCTCCTCCATCGGACATGGGCAGCATCCCCTGGAAGCCAGTGATTCCAGAGCGCAAGTATCAGCACGTCGCCAAGAAACTAAAACGACAGAGTGGAGAGAGAACGAGGGAAGAGAAGCAGCTGGCCTCCGCCCAGGCCACCCCCAGCAACATCCCCCTCTCTTCCCCTAAGCAGAAGCTGAGAGGCCGGTTCTCTTCTGGCTCTTTCACAGCCTCACCTGGCCCACGTTTTAGCACCATGGATTCTGGAAGCGGGGATAAAGACAGAAACTCGGCAGACAAATGGAGCCTCTTCGGACCAAGATCCCTCCAGAAGTCTGATTCGGGAGGCTTTGCCACCCAGCCCTACAGAGGAGCCCAGAAGCCTTCTCCAATGGAACTGATGCGCATGCGGGCCACCCGAAAGGCCGAAGACCCAGCCACCTTCAAGCAGCCCAAGATGGACCTGCCAGTGATGAGAGGGAAGAAACAACCGCCTCGGACCCCTAATCACAAACCCCGTGACTTGAATGTGCTCACACCCACCGGCTTGTAGAGCTTTCTCTTCCAATGACTGAATAGAGGTGTCTTTATTACACTGGCTCTGACATAGGAATGGTGTTTTTGTTTTGTTTTGTTTTTTAAACCTTAACCTGAGGCTAGAATTGGAGACATAATTGGTTTTTGAGAAACATTAGTGCAAAACTTGTCCTTGTGTGGAAGAAGCCATTGTGCAATTGCTTTAATTTAAAGTTAGACTAAATACTCTTAGCAGCGATATATGGAGGCCTGATCACCTATTTTTGCATTATTTAGCCTAGACAAGAACTTGATCATTGCTTACGAGGTAGATAATGCTTATGTTGTTCCCAAACCAAGACTTCTTGATTCCTTTAAAGACCAGGGTCAGCGAGGGCGTGGGTAAGTCGGGGAGTAGAGGTGCTCAGTGACTAGTCTCTGGCCCTCTTGACGGCTGGTGCTGTGTGCTCCATCCTTGTGGGTGCGGGGACCTACAATCTGGTTGAGATCTGGGCATGAAGAAAAGCCAGACTTGGCAGGGACCCTTCTCCTGAGTGGAGACCGGAGCCCTCGCTATAGCTTTTGGTCAGAGCTAGTTCTTACTGTGATGCCTCCAGGGCAGTTCTGTTGGGCAGGGCTTCTCTTCACCTGTCAACAAACACAAGTCTTGCATATCCTCTGCTGCACTTTAAAGTGAGGTTAAGTTAACTCCAATTTGGTAGAAAAGTTTCTAAGGGAGAAAATTCAGCCTTGAATTTTCTATACTGCTTTGGTATCGATTAGTGGATGTTAAGGTTTTTTAAAATAAAGATGGTGGTAACTATACGTAGATTCTAGTCCAGACGTTCATGTGAAACAAGTGTCACCAGGACCTGAAACTTTTTCTGAGAGCCACGTGGAAGGATGGAAAAAGGTTCTATATGCAACCATTGCCCCCCAAACGAGCCTCAGAACTGTGTACTAGTAAGCACAGAGCGTAGTGGGGACAGGAGCCAGGGAAAGCACCTGTTCATTTCTCCTCACTGTGGACGTGTTCGGTCCTTGTCTTGAACACTCTCAGATCCCTGCTGTTCTTGCATTGGAGGGGTCGTGTCTACATAGGGAGCTGGGCTGAGCCTTCCACAGAGTGGCCCTGGAGTCTCAAAGGATGAGAAGAATTAATTTATTTGTGTCTTCTGTTACGCTCATATCTCTTACTTGTTTTGACAATCAAATTCCTTACTACTTTCTCAAATGTGAAAAAAAAATAGATGAAAGACTCAAATAGACATTTTTCCCCAGAGAAAATATTCAAAAGGCCAACAAGTACAGATACTCCTTGACTATGATGGGGTTATGTCCCAATAAACCCAATGTAAGTTAAAAATATCGATCCCCAGAAGGGGGACTGCAGGAGGCAACATATCAATGATTCTCTCTCATCATTGATGTTTCTATCTGTCTCTCCCTCTCCCTTCCTCTCTGAAATTAATAAAAAATATATAAACTTTAGTGAATGTTTTTTATTGGTCATTAACACTGGCAAATATCCATTCCAGAAGTTGGGCTACTAATAGTTGTCAAAGAAATCCAAAGTTTCAATTTAGGAAATCAAATGTAAAATAAATCTTATGGCCCTGACCGGTTTGGCTCAGTGCATAGAGCATCGGCCTGCGGACTGAAGGGTCCCGGGTTCGATTCCAGTCAAGGGCATGTACCTTGGTTGTGGGCACATCTCCAGTGGGGGGTGTGCAGGAGGCAGCTGATCGATGTTTCTCTCTCATTAATGTTTCTAACTCTCCATTCCTCGCCCTTCCTCTCTGTAAAAAATCAATAAAATATATTAAAAAAACAAATCTTATGGCATTTTCCATTTATCATATTTATATGAAAAATACAGAAGCAAAACCTTGTGAAAGCCAACAAGGCCCTGGCTGGTTTGGCTCAGTGGATAGAGCGTCGGCCTGCGGACTGAAGGGTCCCAGGTTCAATTCTGGGCAAGGGCATGTACCTTGGTTGCGGGCACATCCCCAGTAGGGGGTGTGCAGGAGGCAGCTAATCGATGTTTCTAACTCTCTATCCCTCTCCCTTCCTCTCTGTAAAAAATCAATAAAAATATATTAAAAAAAAAAAAAAGAAAGCCAACAAGGCCAAATGAATAGACGCAAAAATATTTTTATTTTCTTCTATTCCCGTCTTTATACAGAAATGATGGTCATCACACATAGATGTGTACTTTATTTATTTATATTTGTCTTGTAGCTCTCTGTAGGCCATAATCTATTTTATTTGCTAAACTTAACTTTGATCTATTTTGTTCTTTATTTGTATGAGCCCTTCATTTTATCCTGAGACATCTTTATCTCTTCATTGATTCAAAAATATATCCAAGGAGATTTGTTTAATTAAGTGAATTTAGTGTTGTACATATAGATGTTAAAAAAAAAGGAGAGATTTCTGCTCTTCTGGAACATCCCATTCTACTCAATCGCCGAAGTATATTTTAAGCAAAGCTAGTAATGTTAGTTTAATGCTTTTCCTTGTTTATATATTTGCTGAGTTTACAGAGTGAATATACATCCATGCCACATCAATAAAATAAACGGAAGAAATTGAAGTAATTCACAATATGCTGAGTTCTGGCTAAGTATCAATGGGGAAAAGGGGATTCTCAGCATACATTCTAATCCTTGTATCTCATGTAAACTCTGAGTTGGCTGTAATAGAACTGAAGCACTTTGACCATTCAATATTATAAAATATATACGTAGCTTCTGCTTCTGAAATGGTGGTGTAAACGCAGTTAACTTCTAACTCTGGGTAAAATAAAAAATCAATTATTCAATGGTGGTGGAACATGAACAAAAACAGAAAGAGTTCTGAGAGGAGTAAAACAACAAGGAAGCTTTGACCATGAATTGAGTACTGTATTTTGAGGCTTTGAACTGAGGGAAGACTGCGGTCATTGTGTGAAACAGGAGGGCAAAATGTCCAATTGCTAGTCTGACTTTTCTTTTCATATGAAGAACCAGGGGATGAGCACAGGCAACCATGACTACTAGAGCCTTGGTCAAAGGAGAGATGGGAAGAAGGGTAACTGAGATGTAGCTGAGCCTCAAACTGCTGCTCACAGATACACATACACACTGCTTGGGAGTGTAAAGGCAGGATAGGTAACATTATGTAAGATTGGCTGTATAATACTGCAGAAAAAGAAACTCTGATTTCTCATCGAATTAACACATTTTTCACTTATTTGTACTACAGGCTCACTGTTAGTTAGCTATGTACTTATTTTGCTTCTATATAATTTGTCTTCTCAGACCCTGAGCTGGACAGAGTCAAGTAAGGACTGAGAATGTGCACATTGAAGGGAACAGAAACCTGTGTTTAGAAGTGCACTACTAACAATTTTAATTTTGTGTATGTTCTCTTTTGTCCCTCTTAAAACTAAGATGTTCTTCAATATTTTTGCTTGTTCCAGATATTTTCTCTGAAGGGAAGAGTTTTTTAAAATTTATTTTTCTAGTTTCTTTTTCTAAAATTAGGCTAAAGTTGAGGAAAAAGAATAATATAACCATGGGGGTAGATGAGTGTGGCAATGCTTTTCAAAGAGAAAGGTGAGGTGGTAAATAAAACGTTGGTGGATTGCTAGAACCAACTGAAACTTCTCACCTAGAAACTTTCCTTTTGGCTCTAAATTCTTGGCAATATTGTGTTTCAATATATTTATTTACTTATCTTCCTTCACACTTAAAAATTGTAACATTTTCTCAAACTGAGTGTTTCATACAATAAAATTATTCTGAAATAAATGAATATGGAAGTGAGGAAAGAAAAGTAAAAAAAAAGATCTAAAATAAAAATACATATTGTGTTCTTTTGTTCTTCTAGGAAATATTGCACAGCTTCTAGGAATTGACAAAATCTAATGCTATAATCTAGAACAATTTCCAATGATGTGTATTTCCTAATGTATGAAAATTTATGCCATAATTTTCTTACTAATTTTTTTCTTCCTAATAATGTGTACATTTTGAATAAGTGTTATGATGGAAACAGTACAATGTTATTGAAAATCCTGCCGGAAGCCGGTCCATCCTTGCTGCTTGACACAGTCGCTGCAGGGAAGAAACATCTGCACAGCATATGTTTCAAGGGACCTGGCATATATGGCATACTGTTCTTAATATGTTTGCTCCCCTTCTTAGTGCTATGTGTTCTAACCAGGGCCACCTCCCCAAAAAGGTTGTTTCCCCAGGTGGGGATGTTTCCCTGGAGTTAGGAATTAACAGTACTAAGGAAGGGAATAAATCAGTAAAACCCCTTAACTAAATGCCAGGCGTGTAGTTAATCACCTTAACTATGAACAATCATGCTTAAGATACATAATCTTTACTTAAGCCATAGAATAGGATAATCTCCTTTAGTTACTTCCTTGTAGCTTAACAGAACAGTAGAGTAGTGACCTTGGAATGGTGATAACAAACTAGCACTAACCTTTGGAATAGAATGGATAGGATTAAAATCAACAGAACTAAATGGAGATGGGATTTTTGGCAAAGGTCAGATAAGAAACTATGGACATGAAACAAGGAACTGTAGAAGGTCAAGGGAGGACCCAAAACATACCATGATGTGACTACAGAGGCATGCTTATAGAATCGAGTAGTATAAATACAGCTGTAACAGGACAATAAAAAAGAACCCAACTATGCTGATGATCTGAATGCTGTCTCTATGTCCTTCATTCTTTGCCGACTCCATCCACACCTTTGGGAACCCCTGGACCGATGGGGCTAGACCCCGGCAAATCCTTTTAAAGAACATGTAAACATGATAAAAACTGTCCTGTATTTTCTAGAAAATGGCAATGTTTTAGAGGAACTCAGAGACATCTATTTCGTCAAAGAGAAACTTTTCTTTTAGCTGACTTCCCGCCTCTTTTCATTGTTGTTGAAGTTTGAAGCTTTTCTACAAAGGTAGGATTGTAAAACACCTAGCTGATTTTATAACTTAAACATTTCATGCCTGTTCCTTTGGTTTTGTTATCCTCAT